GCATTATTACAACAGCTGGCCAACATGTGATAAAGATATTCATGATACACAGAGGTACAGATAAGCTGCACATCTGCGTAAATTACGCAAATATTTATGTGAAAACTCAATTCCTATTAAGTCTGTTGCGTACAAGTACGCTTGACTTTTTGTAAATACTCAGTGATTTTGATCTTACATGCATACACACAAAAATGTCAAATCTTAGCTTGTGTACTTTAACATTCAGCAAACCTACCAGAATTTGAAGTAAGCAGACCCACGCGCTACAGATGGAGGTTACTGAGGACAGATAGAATAACTGAGGTATATTGTGAGGTTCTATTTCAGTACATGAACTTGGCAACTTGCAGTCTTTCTTATCTTTTCTGGTATTACAGATCATATATACATAACACACACGTAAACCGACATTGAAACCTGATTACATTTTCACAAATAATTGAAAATGGCAAAATACCAAATTGAGGTTGAGTAAGGTGGGTACAATTTATTGGTTACTCAAAGGAATATTAGGATACCCAATTGAGATGAACACAAGCGAGTACAAAACTCAATGACCCAAAAAGTTATCTGGAGCTCTGATACAGCTGGGGACTGAAGGTGACTGACTGCTGCGACATGTTTTCATGCCAATAGTATTTGATATTTTAGCTTGACATGATGAATAAAATATTTCCATAAATTATTCCCATCTGTTGTTTTCTTCAGTTTTCTTACAGTATCAACTATCTCCGCATCTCATTAAACCAGTGAGTAGTATATGTGCACGAAACTATTTCCCTGATCAGGTTGTCAATTAGTCATCCCTTTTACGTTCTCTCTTAATTACTGCTCATTCAGTAAATCGTGATAACGCAAAACAAACAGCTATACAATAACAAAAGATCACTTCACTAAAAGGCTTTCACGGATGTCATTAATAGTCCAGACAAAGACATTAATGATATAATCAATGGCTGGTTAATAATTAAACGCTGAACAAACAATAGGGCTGAAGAATCTATAGTAATTTGTCAATATCCAATTACTGTTCGACAAACACTTGACACACTTTCTGGTTAGTGACACCATCAGATCAGCGTAAGGACAATGCTAATTATGGGGTATTAATAAAGGATATTCATTACAAAATGGTTAAAGTTTTCCTTAACCCATTTGCAACATGTTTCTTGTTTGTACAGACTATTTATTGTACATTTAAAAATTTAAAATGAAGGAGGTAGAGTTAGAGACCATTTGATCCACTGGACATGTAAACCTTTCAAATTTTGGAAAGCCTTTGAAATATTGGTATGAACATTACGAGACATGTTCAGAATATATTAACCTGAAACAGCAGGGATTATGCTTAATTAATCTGTTTACAAAACAAAACTTAAAAAAATGATGATTTCTTCGGCATATTAGAACTAATCACTGACGTGTTCCCAAAGCATCACAAAACCGTGTAAATACCTTATAAACAGTTTGGAAACTGTTTTAAAAGATTACTTCTTCATCTTGTTTGTAAGGTATCTGCATCATGAATGAAGGTATCAACATATCAAGGTATGTAATGTTAGATATGTACGTAAATACAAATGAATTTACATATCTATTGATCGACTCTACCGATAGTAAGTTTATACTTCATGCTGTCTGTCCAGCCCTGAGGGCTAGGTGTAAAAGATACAATCCAACCTGTGTTTTTTACATACATGTGACACCAGAGCTCCAGATAAGATTTAGCTCATGTGGGTACTGTACCCACTGTATTTTTAGGGAGTGGGTATTATGAATGTTGAGTGGGTATTTCATTTTCCGTTACCCACTGCTTTCAAATATGTGCGTATTTCAGTCATTTTCAACACTTAAGTATTGTGTCATTGAGTAAGTTTACTAAGCAGGTATGTTCTGCCTTATGTCATACCTAATCAAAACCAACTTAAATATAAGGGAAATGATTTCATAAAAAATCAGTCATCCTATACTGACAGTACAACACTTGTGCTATACTAACAGTACAACTTGATAGCAATCGATGTCTTTTTCATTACGCAAGCGATTTTTATAAGTATATTCCGTACGCATTTGTTTTAAACTTTTTGTGTATCTAACAGTTTAAATGCGTAATTGGTACGCAACAATTATTTTTCAATGCGTAATTGGAAATTTTCTATGCGTATTTTACCCGGATACGCAGCTTATCTGGGCCTCTGCGACACTAATATATACTGTTTTATTACTATATGATATATGGATTATTGTTATTATCAATAATGACATTTTGGAGGCTGCTAGCTACCAACGCCACGATAAGCTTCTTACAGAATGGAGAGTTGGTTTTACAGTAATTCTTACACACAACTAGTTTTATACTTACTTCACAACAGATCATATGCTTAAGAAAATAAATAGTTTGTAGCTGCTTACATAAGCAAGGCACATGTTATACATATTAATGTAGGCTAAGAAACTAATCTAGATGGGCCCACTACTCACGAAGCCCTATTTTCAAATATTGCTAATTCACAGAGGGACCTGTGTCTCAAGGCAATGATAGCACTTGGATGATAATTCTCCCATGTTTAGTTTAACACAGACTTACAACAGCTGAAGCACTACATTAGCTTTGAGAAGGTCTACAACTACAGCAATGCAAACAAATCTGTTTCTTATTCAAACCATCCAAATATTGAGTAGGTAGGTCAGGGTTGGATCTTTTTACTTCACGTGTGTAATAAATGGGTGAGTTTATGTACAATGGCCATGAGACTACAATAAAACTGAAGCCTTATTCAAGAATGTTCAAGGGATTCATTGTGACCTGTTCAGAGGTCAATTACTGGCAGCAAATATCAGAAAAACGTCCAAATTAATATTCATATAGTGATGGCAAATGTGATGGCTTGATGAAGATGACAATAAGAGATAAAAAAGATTAATAATATATTACTTATTAATTATATACCTTGATTACATATAATTTTATATTATATATTACCACTACATTGAAAGCAATATCAAATACCGTGGATATTTTCACACAGAACTGAGACTTGTTAAATGAATAGATGAAAGTGGTTTCTTTTGAAAAAGTCATTATAAAAAAAAATATGACATCCATCTTGTTGACATATTTTTCTGTTTTTGCCAGACAGCATTCCGATAATACATCATCCAGAATAGAACGATCGTCACGCAGACATGACACGTCAACTTTAATAAACTATGATCGATGTCTTCATACACTAAGCTTGGCTTATTACTGAGATATACATCACTGGAGGCAATACAGCTCGGCTACCATAATACGTTTGTTTGAGGTACTAAACCTTATTCATTTGAATAAGTGAGTGAGTTTAGTTTTACACCACTTTCAGTAATATTCCAGCAACATCACATCAGGCGACACCAGAAATGAGCTTCACACATTGTACCCATGTGGGGAATCGAACCTGGGTCTACGGCATGGGGGTTGAACGCATTTCAAATAGGGGTAAGAAGAAAATAGTGAGTTAGTGAGTGAGATGGGATTCCATTTTAGGTGTGCCAGCTTAATGTGAAAAGATGTCTGAAGTGATGCAGGTGTTAGAGTGAGTGAGTGAGTGAGTTTAGTTTTATGCCGCTTTCAGCAATATTCCAGCAATATCACACTGGGGGACACCAGAAATGGGCTTCAAACATTGTGCCCATGGTGGGAACCGAACCCAGGTCTTCAGTTTGATGAGTGAACGCTTTAACCACTAGGCTACCCCACCTCATCTGCAGGTCTTAGATATTTCACAACCACTTTGGTAAAACCCATAAGCATTGGTATGATGCTGACAAAAATCGCAATACGTCACAGGCGAACTGAGATTTAAACTCACAATCATAGGTTTGATCATGAACACAGTTTTGGTCAATGAATTGTGACGGCATAGAGAACTGGGTACATATTATCCCATGTAAGTAAATAGAAACTATATAAGTACATATTAAGCTGAAATTCTCTTGAGACTTCTTCATGTAAGATACCAAGTCACTAGTAAAATGATTATTCAGGTTTCAAGAAACTTTCCTTTCCAAAAATAATCTATTTTTTAATAATGTGTGTCATTTGGGAATTGAAGTAATCCTTGAATGCATTTTTATTCCATTAAACATCATCTTTAGAAAATAACATTTCCTGTTATCAAAGGCGGAATTGTCCTCCACATAAAAACACTTTCATATTCAGAACTGTCAAGTAGCTGTTCATCTCAAAACCTTCATTTTTAACTGAGGTTAAAAGGTTCAGTGAAATGAAACGTTGAAGATTCAGTTAAAAGCTTTTATAGTGTGGATGAGTCATACGTGAGTATCGTCATGTGATACACCTGCTACATTAGGGCTTTGTTTGCATAATACATGTTGTTTGAACATCAGTAATGAATTGTTATTTTACGTTTTAACTATAACAGCTCGGACAGGCTGGAAGAATACTGACACTGTAGAAACGATTCTCTAAATATGACAAAGTGAATTTTGATTATACACCTGAGTTTCAAGTCAGGTCATGTTTATCTACTGTCAAAGTAAGCATAAGTTGAAAGGAATTGCTAATTTCTCCAAATTGAGATATGAAGTGGCCAATTTTGTGTATTAAAACGATGTACAGAAAATTAAAATAACACCTGATGAACTTGAACCCACAGTTTACTATGTGATATCTGCAATTACAAATCTTCACGTATCCATTGCTACGACAACTAATGTTCAAAGTAATAACCCCTCGAATAATACCACGATGAATCACTCGGAATGCGGCATAGATAAGACTAGCCACAATGTTGACAATGACAGGCTCAGACTTTTAGCTCGTTCTAAGAATATCATAATTTTAATCTTATTAAGTGCTGTTTACAAATTGCAATGTAAAATAGTAGAGACAAAATCATAACATGCAAAACTGATCGTTTTGCGCTGTCAAGATTGTACGTGATCACAAATTTCTTTTGTTAAATTGATCTTCAAATGAAATCAAACGCCCTTACCTTACAAACTCTCCAATTCGTCTGGGGTCTTCCGCAATAAAATACATAATCTTTTCATGAACACTTTCCAATTTTGAATCGTTGAACTTATCCTTACGGTAGGAGGCGCAATCGAAAGTTTGAATCTGTGCAGCGTTGAGACTCTCCCGGATATAATATCCAAGACAGAAACCCAGCAGAAACAAAATGACGACAGTCACAACAGCTAACACACACGTCCAAAGACTCACACATCGTGGTCGTTTGGAGGGAATACTTTCTGTCGAGGGATAATCTAACAAGGCATCATTTCCCATCTCGTCGATATCGGCATTCCAAGAACGATACCTCCTGTACGAGCGATCGGGAGTCGCCATGTTGAGCGTTGCACTACTACCTGTATTGTGAGCCGACTCTTCTCCCCGCGCGCTGAGTCCAGCTATTAAAAGCCACCTGCCGCTGATAGCTCAGCGTTCAGGTGTCGTTCAAATGGCTTCCGTCGACTGTCAGCGGTCGCACGCGCTCACTCCCTGAGTGACATAAGTCGCTAAGGTAGAAGTTCACTCTGGTGTTACGTAACGGAGTCAGGTATTGCCCGGCAAGTGGTACCTATTTGGAGCTGATTACCGGTAATTGCTATTTACGGGAGGTTAAATTGGACGTGATGGGATCATGTTAACTACACGAATTACTGTGTTTGTGAAACTGACGAACGACCGTCGTATACCTATGTCAAATTGAACACGTAACTGGAATGCAATGCATGGTATGTTTGCCCATTTTCTGTATCAAGTGATATTTTTAGCGGGCCAGTTCAATTTCGTTGAATACATGCTAGTACAAATCTCACAAACGAAAAGCTATAGTAAACATGTGCAGTAGCATGTTATGTATGGGATTACGATTTCTTGGTAATCTATAAAGGGACCGTTCATAAATTATGGCTGGGGGGGTGTGTGTGATGGTTTATATGGCTGTCTGCGTAATGGGAGGACACCAGCATGTACGGTGTGAATGCCCCCTAAATGTGTATGTACAAAGTAAGTGACCTCCTGCATGGCATGTACAAAATGAATTATCCCCTACCCATAATTTCTAAGCATATTCTTACAATATTTTTATGTACAAAATTGCTGACACAACCCCCAGTACATGTGTACAAAATTGCTCCCCTCCTCCCCATATCCCCAGAACAAAATGGGTGCCCTCAAAATAATCATCATTTAGCCATAAATTATGAACGGTCCCTAATTATAGTGTTTGGCGCAAATTACCCAATCCCCCCAAAATGCTTGAATTTTTTTATTCACTACCAAAGGGTAATCCCAATTATGAAACGTTACATTTTACCCTTTTATAAAAGGGATTGTATAATGATAGTAGACTGATAACTTCAAATCGTGATCTCAGCATTTGAAGCTTTTACCTCCAACTTCCTCAGGAAATGATTTCGCGACGAATCTGTCCCCATATCCCGAAGAGGTTCAGATTGGATTCCCATTACCCCGTGCTTGTCTCCACATGGGATTTAGGAACAGAATAGATCCCCAGTACCCCATGCTGGTCTCCACAGCAGGTTTAGGAACAGAATAGATCCCAGTACCCAATGCTTGTCTCCACAGGGGATTTAGGAACAGAATAGATCCCAGGACCCCATGCTTGTCTCTACAGGGGATTTAGGAACAGAAGAGATCCCCAGTTCCCCATGCTTGTCCCGACAGGGGATTGATTTAGGAACAGAACAGATCCCCAGTACCCCATGCTTGTCTCCACAGGGAATACCGGGACACAGTTGGCATCCGATACCCTACGTTAGTGATATGATCCGACTTGTGAGTGTCTGACTGTCAAAACGTGTGACCTGAGTGTGTCATTGTGTCCGAATGAAGGGGTCGTCGGTCAGACTGACAACTTTACTTTGACCAGCCCATTTCTGGTGTCCGCTGCCGTGATGTTGCTTGAGTGTTGCTGGAAGCGACGTAAAACCATACTCACTCACACGCTCACTCACTTCTGACACTATAATGTGTTTATAACTATCCAAGTATGGGAATGAATAACAAAAACAAAGTCTTTACTTTGGCTATCGTGTTGCATACAGGTTTGTTGACTGCGGTGTACGGCATCACTCACTCACTCACTCACTCACCCACCCACCCAAACCCACCCACCCACTCACTCACTCACTCACAGCACATGTGCTGTTCCTACCATGCATCTTCGTCCAAACCTAGGAATCAGAGAAGATCCGGGTTGGAAAGGCCCCAGCACCCGATTATTGTCGTACAATTTAAACCGGATCATGTGGTCAGGATTTGTGACGTATCCCAACAGCATGGACCGATGCTCAGACTACCACTGGGACATTTGTTACAGGCCGCCGTCATATATCTGTATTACTGTTGATTGCTGTAAAATAACACGCAAACTGTCACTTTGTTGGATATTAAGAGCGATAGGTCTGTTCGAAACTATCGATTGACTGTTGATTTATTGATTCAAGAACAGTCAAACGGCTTTGGAGTTATAAGGTTATCGTTTATTTTTGAAGCAAGTCAGATAGTAAGGCTATTAACGTAACCTACCTGACAGCGTTTCTGTTGCTTGAAATACATGTTTTAAGAAAAGTATTCTGTGTAACACTCAGGCTCTCAGGGCGGTGGGGTAGTCTAGTGGTTAAGGTGTTGGCTCGCCGAAGACCCTGGTTCGATTCCCCACATGGGTACAAAGTGTGAATCCCATTTCTGGTGTCCCCCGCCGTGATATTGCTGGAATATTGCTAAAAACGGCGTAAAACAATACTCACTGTGTAACCCCCAACTGTGACGTTAATCAGTGCATTCTGTTTTCTACCGCAACGAAAAAGCGATCTTGGGTGATCCGGGTAGACTCGGTGAGTATTAGTATGTATATACCCGGCCTCTTCTGTACAGAGGGCAACGGAATGTCAGAGGGTATATAGAGACAAATCGGGTACCGTATTTCATTGAAAAAAACGCGCGATAATAATTGCCAGCATGACCTGTCACGTGGGCCTCCACTCATGGAGGTTCCGGGTTACGTTTGTTTGTTTGTGCAATTCCAGCTCTATGTCTGTACATTTGTATATAATCGTGTCTGGACCAGACAATCCAGTGACTGACATCATGAGCATCGATTTACGCAGATGGGATACGACATGCATCAACCAGGTCAGGAAGCCTGACCACCCGATTCCGTTAATCGCGACACGCATGGAATACTGAAAATCCATTTCTAATCCAGATCTTCACGGGTTGGTTCATATGAGTGAGTGAGTATGGGTTTAGGCCGCTTTTAGCAATATTCCAGCAATATCACGGCCAGGGTAACCAGAAATGAGCTTCACACTACTGGTTCATGTGACAAGCATGATAATTAGAGGTGACTTATGGGATCGGCTGGTCAAGCTTGGGTACTTGGTTGATTTCATCGCAAGCCACGCATTTTATACAAAGATCCTATCATGTCTGTTTGGTATGGCGACAAGAAGGGACATCGTTTTCTCACCTTCAGTTACCACCGCGAGAAAGCGACAACACGAGCAAAGAAAGTGAGATGCGGTGTCACTTTCTCGTCTCGTGTTGTGGCTTTGTCCCTTTCTGGCGACCGTAACTGATCGAAGGCGAGAACGCGATGTCCCCTCTCGGACACCATAGTTTAGTATCATACTTCCAAACAATTCCCCACGATGAGCTACTTGTAAATATTTTTCAACAGTATCAGTTGTGAACCCCATGCATGCCAAACCAAGGGTGATTGATAGTAATCTGTTATTACACGTGTTTTCTTATTTCCACAATCTCACACTGCATTCGTCAACTTCTTCAGTTGAGATCCCCACATGGGTACAATGTGTGAAGCCCATTTCTGGTGTCCCCCGCCGTGATGTTGCGGGAATATTGCTAAAAGCAGCGTAAAACCAAACTCAGTCAGTCAGTCTTCAGTTGAGTCAGTTGTCAAGGAGGAATGCAAGGAAATTTGTGCGTAAACAAGGAAAAAATCGGTGAAGCAATACCCGACGCCATGCGAAACGTCGTGCATTCAACCAGTTTTCGTTACGAAACTGGCTCTGTTGGGTAGCCTTATGGTTAACGCTTTCGTTCGTGTCGGCGAAGGCCCGGGTTCGATACCCCGCATTTGTGAATCCCATTTTTGGTATCACCCGTCGTGGTATTGCTGGATTATTGTTAGAAGCGGCGTAAAATCCAGCTCACTAAGTCAGGTTACAAAATGCACACACGCATACTAACACACACCTATACACACAGATGTGTATTTTATGCACACATACTTAAGAAATACAGTTCGCTCTACCACGATGTATAGTGTAATAAAGCACACTTTCGTCCTGAACTATTATAGTTAAAGTACGAGGACGCTTGCGTGGTAGAGCAAACTGTATTTCTTTTCTAAGATGCCAGATGTAATACTTTCTAAATTAATTACGATTAATTTAAGCAGGGGAGACTCTATATGTTGTAGAGTATCCCTGATTTAAGGCAGAAAACAAACGGCGGTGTCGGTGACCTAATTGAGGAATCCTCGCACAGGGCTAACTGGCGTGCTGTTCTATTGATGTGTCTGCCCCCTACGTTAAGACGAACGTTACCAGAAACCCAAATGATAACAGTTTGATGACGGTTAACGTTCGGATTAAATATCTTCTCTAAATTATTTTAATTACATCTGTGATTAACGTAAACCATATGGGCCAACATGAACGTCGCATTTCTACTACCAACGTAAGTTTAGATCAGGGACATCCAGATGAAGCGGAGTAGTCAAGCGACATTCCACGATTGCAATGTGGGAATGTCAACATTGCGAACGTTACCGTGTCGCTGAAAACTTGTGAGTCGGATTGAGACATTTTAACTATCGGAAAACATAAACGCAATGTTTCAACCAGTGATGTTAGCTGCGTGAAGCAACTGCAAACCAAGAAACGGGATGCAACGGAGTAGTTTACTGTAGGAGGCGATGACAATTGACATGCATCGTGACGTCTGTCAGGCCAGTAAGGCTCATCATCAGCCCAGGGCCCTCGCCCCCTCTACACGCAGCCAAGACAGCGAATGGGACTTCTCACAGGAAACACTGCCTAGTCGAACCCACCAAGAACTTTCCGGAGAATATGAAGGCTCCCCAACACTGCAGCCTTCTGCATTACCCAGAGTGTCAGAAGGGCTGTGCTCCCGGTGGAGAACCCGGGCACTCTCCTGATCTGCGCCAAGAGATCAGGAGGTACCAAACCAAGGGCACCGAGAACAATGGGTAGCTTGACGACAGGGTACTTGGAATGCAAGCGGGACATTTTAAAGGCGAGGTCCGCATATTTATTATGCTTTTCCTGAACCTTGCCAATCACATTGCTGTCAAAAGGGACAGAAAATTCAATGATACAAATAAATTCATTGGCATTATCCAAAAGGACAATATCAGGTTTGCTGTATATGGGCCTATTCCAGAGAAGTTTGAAAGCATCATTTTCCATGACGCCCTGGACATGTTCAGGGTCGTACCATGGATGGACCTCGGAGTCAAAGCCACAGGCATGGCAAAGACGGT